AAATTACCGACACTGACCATGCACAAGAGACCAGACAAAGAAGTAAGATGCGATAGCAGACGGATCCACTCAACAATACCTCTAAACCGGATGGAGGTGAGTTGTCAGTTTCACGCTCCGGCCTCTTCACTCCTAGTAAGCTCTAGTTGAGGGAGTTCTCAACCACCGGCCCTACGACCTATTTGCGGCCTTTGTACATATGTAGCAACGCTATGCCACATTTGTGGATGTAAATAGCTACCTGATATTTTAAAAAAACAAACATTTTTGTTAATATAATCAGTATTTGGCAGAACCTGCAGGTATGATCAACTGTTCACCTTCAAGAACTATGATATATTTTACTGTCGAATACGCGGCGCGATACAAGCGAATCACAACAAAAGAAATCAGACTTAATTCTGAAAGATTACTGAAGAAAAATCTGTGTCAGATAATCCACTAATGACTGATTTTGTTACATAAAATTACTGAGTAATACGTTAACCTGTCCACAATAGTAATTTATTAATATTCTTAATAAATTACTATGACGCTTCTATAAATTGTCCTAATTTATCATTGTCATAATCTGGAGACCAGCGAGTCAATAGGATAGATTGAATGTGACCCCCAAGTCTGAAAAAAAGCTGCGAACCCCTACTTTAAATAGAATGGGTAAACCAGTTGAAGAGGGAATTAATTCCTCTGATCACACCGCCACCTGTTCAATCTATATTTTATCCCGGAGTAGGAATCCGAATCATAAGTAAACATAAATGCAAAGCTATCTCTGTGTACAGGAACAACGTGATTAAGTCCTAAGTAGGGAAAACTGATACAAGGCCGATATTACTGGATTTCTGATGTTTGACCATCGTATAAGATTCCTAAAAGAACTCAAAGGTTCAGTGACTTAGTTACGAACAACTGAGAACGTTCTCCTGATACTTTAACTTACGAACAGAAACATTCAGTTTCCGTAACGTGTTCTTTAACGAATATTAGGCGATGGACAAGTCTCGAAATCCACTAAAATAACTGCAGCATACCATCTTCAGAACCATTTAGAATTCATTTATATAAGGCTCTACGTATTCTAGATCTGTCAATAGGGTGGAGATGTGTGGTAAGATTCACGTCCCAGGCGCAACTGCGGGATCTACTGAACAGGAAGTCGTGATGTGGCGACACTCATCGGCATAGAATCGAACCCCAATCAGCCGTCGTGCAGCCAGTCACTTTGTCTACTGAGCTCATCTCGGTTCAAAGTCGTTCAATCATAGTTCTTTGTGGATCTTCGTGACAGCAACTAAATAATTACGGATGACGCCGCCTGACAAATCAACTGAGATAAAATATAACAAAACTATAGAAAACGGTTGTAGAAAGAGATGGACAAAATTCGTATCCAGTCTGTGGAAGGACTGGAATCCTAACTCTGGAAATGACCGTCTCACTCAGTGACAATAACCGAACATGACGTAATATATGAAGTTTGGCAACGCAGCGGTTACCTTCTCCTCTCCTCCCGTCCACGCTAACAGGTAGATTAACAACAAAAGAACAGAATGTGGCGCTTGAGAGATCAGTTCATGGTCAGCAGCCAGCTGAGCTGTGTGTGTAGTGCTGAGTTCAACAGTCAACAGCCACAACAGGTGAGAAGGGCGACCCAGATCGCTCAAATTTCGCTAGTCCGTACTCTTCGCCTCGGGAGGGCTCTGTAGCTTCCTATTCCATAAAAATGTACGTCTCTTTTGCCATAAGAACACTGATCTTTATGAAAGGCGTTTGCTGTTGGTTAAATAAGGCAGTTCTTCGGCGTAATGATTAAATATACTCTACGATCCAACAAGGAGTGAGGCCTGACGATACTTCACTGTAAAATGCTCCATTTTACTACATTTTTCTTAATGTTTTCCGTTGGACTACGGTTAAAATTTGCAGTTATATTTTAATCACCAATTTAATTTCTGTGTTTGCCGGTCCGACAATCTTAAATAAAACGTTTAATAAGTACGATTAAAGGTTTACGTTGCTGTGATTACGAGGATGGCTGTCTTCTGGGTTGTTACGCCGTACAGTCTGGCAGAAGTCATCGCCCTGATGATGGAGGCAGCATGGACCTCTGAAATGTTGATAAACTTCTACCAGACTACACGGCACTACAAACCATCTCCAAAACTTTTCATGGTGCAATAATTTGTATAAAATAAAAATATATTCTTCGTTAACATCTGTAACTGTTCGTGTGGAATGTTTCTTTTTCCCGACAAGGTGATTTGCCGTTGGTTAACAATGCACACATATATAATTGTTGGTGTTCTACAATTGTGTTACGCCAGACCGGAAGCATGAATCCTCAATCCCTGGCTGCACCAGGAAAGCAGTCAGCTGTCACTACAGATATGAATACAAAAGAAAGGATACGTAGAAATTATTCTTATCCCTTTAAAGCCTAGTGGTAACTGTATGTCCCACCTGCTTTATCAGTCAATAAGTCTGCAATTTTATTTCGTAATTCGTTTAGTTTCAGAGTAAATAACCAGCATTAAGTAACACTAGCGTTTAATTTATGGTTCGGACTCAATTATTAAACATTATATGCATTAACTTTACTTTAAAGGGTTACACTTCAAAACCTGTTTCTCGTCACAATACCACGAAGGTGTGTAAGTACGTATGTATACGTAAAGATCCATTCACTTTGAGTCTTGGTACTGGGCAGATGTGAGCTGTCAGTTACATTATTAACTATAAAGCTTATACAATAATGATACCAACTGGTATCTTATCCGAATACTTAAATTACATTTATCTATCTTGTTAAGTAGGTGCCACGGTGGCCTTGTAATCCTGGTGTCTCGGGTTCGATTCCCAGCGGTGCCCGAATTTATAACTTGTGTTGGGCAAGGCCGTGGTCTAGGCAACACGGAGTTTTCCTCCGGGGGCTTCCCCGGTTTCTCCGTGGCATCCCAACAATTACTCCATTCACACACAGAAGAAGGCAATGGCAAACCACTTCTGGATCATCTGCCAAGAACGTATATGAACAGGTCCCAGTCCGAGAAAAGGATGGAAGGATCCTGTTCATATGGACCTGTCGCCAGACAGAACACTAATAATAATAAATAATCTTGTTAAGTAAGCACCTAATACAATCGCAGAGAATCTGAAAGTGTTTGTACAATAATTATTGAGGTTAAGGACAGAAATATACACAAAAGAATGGTGCGGTTTCAAAAGTTACCCCAACTGAATACCAATTATAACTTTTGAAACCGCCCCATTCTTTTGTGTATAGCCTGTATTATTTTACGTCTTATGCAAGAGGAAATGAGATTAAGTCTGTGGTGATCTCCCGCGTGTAGAATCTACAAAACTACTTGACTGGTTACAATAAAATATAATGATTTATTTGGTGTCGACACTTAATGTTTCCGAGCTAATTTAATTTTTGTTCTCAGCGTTTAATATAAACCCTGGTTTGTACAAAGCACAAATGGATTTTCTAAGAAATGAACTCAAAGTACAAAAAATTACATTCGCCTGTTAAATTTAGATCAAATTAATACCTACAACTTTATTTGATGTTTTTATTTATAAGATAAATATATAAGAAACGACTGTTCAATGTGAATAGTTTTGTAACAACGTATGTCACTGTTAAAACCTGAACTGAGATCCGTCACTAATTTCGTTCATAATTTTTCAGGTTTTAATCAAGCATTATTCTTAGTTAATTCAGTTGAATTCCAATTCAACAACAGTATCGTCTATGTGGAAAATTTTGATATGTGTTATTAAAGACAACGACCTGTACAAAATCGCCAGGAAACTAATTTCTTACTCGATGTAGTATTCATAGCTTTGCAATAACGGTCAATGGCTAAATTTCAATTGGCTTCCTTTAATAATTACGTTAAAAATCTTTCATACTTTAGGTGCACTATCTATATAACTTGACCTCCCAAATTTTTCAGCTGGGTTTGAAAATATATCTGTATTAGTAACAAATTTAAGTTCAAGGTCATTGAAGCTACAGTACCAAAAATCCGCAAGGAAAAATATATTATTTTATAATAAACACTGAATAATCAGTAATGTAATTTATTTAAGATTTAACTTGAATTATACACCAACAACTTTGAGGGTACAAAGTTGAAGAGAAATTATATCTGGGGGCACGCGAACAAAAAAGTTTGAATACCATTGATATAGAGTAAGGAAAGTCCGTAAGAGTTGGTTCTTTTAAGCATGCATCGTATCAGACTTTGCTTCATGGCAGTGCAGTGCTATGGGAAGTGCTGTACTTTTTGTGCTGCACATTTCATCTCTCATTAGCCCACTTTCCCCACTGCAGAGCAAGGTTTATGAGATCGCCCCGTCCAATTTTACCTTTGTTTCTATGTAAAAAGAGAACTCTAACTAGTTAACCTGTTTTCATGAAATTCGATATGAAGGGCATGCCTTTGAAAGTAAAACCATCACTACACTTTCTAAATGCCTACTTTCAGATTGTACAAATCTGGCGCCAGTAATGTTGAAGATTTCTGTCTTCTGGGTTGTTGCGCTGTGTAGTCTGGTCGATGTTTACCAACGTTTCAGAGGTCATACTGCCTCCATCATCAGAGTATGAAGATTTCTGTCTTCTGGGTTGTTGCGCTGTGTAGTCTGGTCGATGTTTACCAACGTTTCAGAGGTCATACTGCCTCCATCATCAGGGCGATGAGTATGAAGATTTCTGTCTTCTGGGTTGTTGCGCTGTGTAGTCTGGTCGATGTCAACCAACGTTT